GACTAAAAAAACCTTCATTTCTCTAGAAAATCTTAGAAAAATACCTAAAATCCTCATATTATCGAACATTTTATTAGAAAGTCGATCTTTAGTTTGCATTTTTTTCAAATTATGAATCAACAAATTGAAAAAAATATTTAGTCTTGCTATTTTTTCAGTAACTCTCCGATTTCCTAAATTTTACTAAATTTTCAGAAAAGTAGTGAAAAAATTGATGAAATGATAAAAAATTTTGAATAAAAAACAACTCGAAAATTGTTGTAAAATTAAAAAAATCTTCATTCCCGTTGAAAATCTTAGAAAAAATTTTGAAAAACTGAGAGAAAAGTTAGATCAGCAAAATCGAAGAAAAATGTTAGTGTCTTGCTACTTTGTTCAGTAAATCTTCGATTTCCTAAATTTTATGTAAACAAACTTAATTTTCAGAGATTTAACGAAAGAATTCATGAAATGAGAAAAAGTTTTGAACAAAAAACTACTCGAAAATTATTATAGTAAAATAAAAAATTTAATTTGTGTCTTGGGACTAAAAAACCTTCAATTCCTTTTGAAGATCTCACAAAAAGTACCTGGAATTATTATATTATCTAGTATTTTAAAAAAACAGAGTTGAAGAGTAGATTTTTTCAAATTATGAACCTCCAAAATCAATAAAAATATTTCTTGTCTTATTTTTTTCAGTAAATCTCGGATTTTCTAAATTCTACTAAATTACCTGTAAAAGAAACTTAATTTTTCGAGAATTAGCAAAAGAATTCTTTACATTCGAAATTCTCATCTAGAAAAAAATTGGAGAAACAAATCAAAAAAGTAAGTGCGCTCTTCGTGACTGAAAAGAGAGAAAGTAATACAAAAAAATAGATCTTCAATCTGCATTTTTTCAAGTTATCAAAACCGAAAACAATGTTTGGTGTTTTGCTATTTTTTTTCAAAAATAATGGTTTTTAGAGAATAATTTGCTTGCTAATTTTCCGACCAAACTTTTCAATAAATCACTGACAATTTGTCCAATTACTTTGAAGTATTTTTAAATTTCCCTCCATTGCCCACAAGCCCATAATCTGGGTAAAGAACCCAATTCAGAAAATTCGTAGTAGCGCATCACGTCGGTCCATTTCGATCAGCTGACTCCTCGAGCATTATTGATTCGAAAATCCTCAGTTTCAGCCGGTTTCAGTCAGAAACGCGCCTAAACAAGGACGAAAAACGAAATGTGGGTCAGAATTCAGTGGTGGTGTGCGTTTTAGTCCTGTCCTGAACACTGCTTTCGCTGCAGGAAAATAACGCCAACGTTAGTGCGACGAGTGCCACCGAAGAAAGCGCACATTCACAAGAAAACAAACACAAAACCGGTGAGTTTTTCCCTTTTTTCCCCCAAATGACTGAAACTAGCGTCGCGACGTCGTGAAAGTGAAATTTCCCTAATTTCGGTGAGAGTTGTATGCAAATTTTTGCATTGCGTAATTTCATAGGAAAGTTAAATGTCAAATAGTGCATGTTTTGTAATTTTTCGAAAGCGAGATTTGGCACTTTGACAATGTTTTTTTGCGTGTTTTAATGAAAACTGGGTCGGTCTAGTTGATTTTATTACACCCAAACCCACACTACACTATCTTTGATACAGATCAGGTCAACACATGCTGGAGTTACGACAAAACACAAACTGTTTTCGTTAATATTTAAGCAAATTGAAAATATTTATAGATTTTACATCACTGTATGAGGTAAAAATTTAAATATAAACTCAACGAGTAATAAAATTAACGTTTAGTGTAATAAAGTCGTCTTATAAACCTTTTATTATTAAAGAGGGGTCGATGGAAATGGCCCTTGGCTCTTATCGATTTGTTTGCTTTGTCGCAATTTTCAATAATTCGCATTTGAAAGTTGATAAAAAAATTATTTCGCAACTCAGGAGTCGACTTTTTAATTATTAATTTACAATATATTGTTTACGGTGTAAATTTTATTGTGCTTATTTAATAAATTTCAACATTTATTTATTGTTGACATTGCTTTAAAGATTATACCGAATAGGTACAATGTATGTACAGACGTCACGTTACGATTATTTATTTTAACTGTCAAAACAATTTGTAAAAATAATGTATTACAGTGAATTGCTGTTTTATTGGCTATAAAAGTTTACAGTTTAGTCGTAAAATTGTGCACATTTATGTTATTTATTTATTTACTGAATAGAAAATAAGTTGAGAAGCTTCAAAATTGAAAAAAAAACATTTCGTATCTTGCTATTTTTTCAGTACATTTTCGTTTTCTTAAACTTTGTCAAAAAAAAATTAATCGGCACAGAATTGACGAAAAAATTCTTTAAAGTCGAAATCTCATCTAAAAAAAATCAACCAAATGTAGAAACAAATTTTTAAAAAATATCAATTTTTTATAACTGCGCTTTTAGTGACTGAAAAAAGAAAAGAATACGAAAAATCGTGAATACAAAAAACTACTCCTAAGTTATAGTAAAATAAAAAAAATATTTTTTTGTCTCCTGGGACTAAAAACCCTTCAATTCCCTTCGAAAATCTTAGAAAAAAATACCTGGAATTCTCATATTATCAAGCATTTCACAAAATTGAGAGTTCAAGAATAGATTTTATCAAATTATGAACCTCCAAAATCAAACAAAAATTTTTTGTCTGATTTTTTTCGGTAAATCTACAAGTTGTACCAAATTGCAAGTAAAGTAAGTAAGTAAAAAACTCAGAATTAGCAAAAGAATTCTTCACATTTGAAAAAAAAAATTGAAAAAGAAAAAATCATCCAAATGAAAAAACAAGTTTTAGTAACTGTGAAAAGTGATGTATTTTATACCTGTGACTAAAAAACCTTTATTTTCCTTAGAAAAAGACCCCAAATTCTCACAATATCCACTATTTCAGTAAACTGAGACTAAATAGGCAGTACTTTTATCTGCATTTTTTCATATCGGGTGCTTCCAAAACTGAAATAAAAAATATTTTGTCGTGCCATTTTTTCAGTACATTTCCGATTTCCAAAATTTTACGTAAAAAAAACTTAATCATCAGAATTAGCAAAAGAATTCATGAAATGAGAGAAGGTTTTGAACAAAAAACTACTCGAAAATTATAGTAAAATAAAAAAATTATTTTTTGTCTCATGGGACTAAAAGCCCTTGAAGATCTGAAATTTTTTTTTTTTAAACTTAGTTGAAAAGTAGATTTTTTCAAATTATGGACCTTCAAAATCAATAATAAAAATATTTCTTGTCTTATTTTTTTAGTAAATCTGTGATTTTCTAAGTTCTACTAAATTTTCTGTAACAGAAATTTAATTTTTTGAGAATTAGCAAAAGAAATTTTTACATACAATTTTCTCATCTAGAAAAAATCAACCAAATGGAGAAACGACTTTGTAAAAAATATCAATTTTTAGTTCCTGGGACTAAAAAACTTTCAATTCCCTTTAAAAATCTTAGAAAAAATACCTGAAATTCTTAGATTGTTTAGCATTTTAAAAAACTGAGAGTTGAAGAGTAAGTTTTTTCAAATTATGATCCTTGTCTTATTTTTTTCAGTAAATCTCCGATTTTCTAAATTAAATTTCCTATAAATAAAACTTAATTTTTAGCAAAAGAACTCTTTACATTTAAAATTCTCATCTAGAAAAAAATAACCAAATGAAGAAACAAACGCAAAAAAGTTAATTTTTCATAACTGCGCTTTTCGTGATTGAAAKGAGAAAAGAAACACACAAAAATTTGAATAAAAAACTACTCGAAAGTTATAGTAAAATAAAAAATCAATTTTTTGTCTCCTGAGACTAATAAGCCTCCAATTCTTCATGAAGAAAACTACCTGGAATTTTCATATTATCCAGCATTTAAAAAATTTTGTGAGTTGAAAAGTAGATGAATCAAAAAAAATTCTTGTCTTATTCTTTTCAGTAAATCTCCTAAATTCTACTTAATTTTACGTAAAAAAACTTCATTTTCAGAGAATTACCAAAAGATTTCATGAAATGAAAGAAATTAAATAAAAACTTCTCGAAAATTCAATTTTTTTATCTCTTGAGACTAAAAACCTTCAGTTCCCCTTAATTTCTCATATTATCCAGCATTTTGACAAACTCTTGAGTAGATTTTTGTAATTATGAATCTTCAAACTCAAAAAAAATATTTCGTTCTTGCTACTTCTTCAGTAAGTTCTAGTAAAAAAAACTTAATTTTCAGACATTTAGCGAAAGAATTCTTTACAATACAAATGTTGAAACAAGTTTACAAACGCAAGAAAGACAATTTCGTGACTGAAAATTTGAAACTATTTCGAGCCAAATAACAGACCAGTAATTGGACTACATCCACTTTAGGTTAATTATTCAATCCAATTACGTTATTTGATCGCAACATAACACAAATTCCATTAATCAATTCTCCTCTCAATTACGGTAATTGATCTAAATGAAATAACTCGTTTTTTATTATAAAATCTCTGAAATTTTTTCAATGCACGACCACTACATTGTGTTCAAATCTCCAAGATTACAGCACGCAAAACGACACTCTGTAACATTATCCATTTGTTCCTTTCAGTGCAAAAATGACGTCTCCGGCAATCAACGGCCAGAAAGAAAATTCCAAGACCGACTCAAACGTGACTTTATCCCAACAACAACAACAACAACAACAACAACAACAGGCCCAACAACCATCAACGTCGATTTTCGTCGCTTGGTGGCGAGTTTTTAAACTAGCAAACCTCTTGATCAAGCAAAGTTGTTAGATTATGACGAGATATCAGGGCCGTATGCACGAAAACGTCCCAAAATCACCGATTTTCGTACAAACGACCGCTAGTAGATTAAAAAAAAATTATAGTAGAATTCCTGTAACCTTTTAATTAGTAATGTGACGAGTTTCGAGCAAGATCCCTTGATGGTGGCACACAGTACAAGTTCTTCCATCTTGCATTAATTTTAATTCATCAATTAATAACAAATTGAACACCACGTGTGGTGGTACAATAAACATGGCCGCCCCTTTAATGATAGCTATATTTTCACATCATGTGTTGTGTTATCACACGAAATATACCATAACCCGTATGTGATAGAAAACAATTATCATAAATTTATATCGTGTTTTGGGTGATAGAGTGAGTGGTCTCGATTTTATTTAAATAAATGTTATCCACTGTTATTGATTGAGTTTTTTTACTTTCCCAAATCCACATCTCCGTTTCCTTGAATCTAAATTCGTCAAACGAATTAGTTTCACACTAAAAGCGATTTTTTTTTCACTACTAGTGTAAAAGGTACTATTTTCTAGTTTGTCGAAAGGTTGTAAAGTTGTTTTTATCTCCTAGTGGTCAATAATTATTTTCATTATAGACCAAGGGCAATAATGGATTACAGGTGGATGAATACCGATATTAATATTTAAAACTACAGGCTGGTCCAAAAGTCTGGAAACGAAACTATCAATTTTTTGGCAAAAAAAATTATAGGCTACAAAAATGCTATTAAAAAAACATTTTTTTTAGTCAACGACCTTACAAGAATTGATGCTGTGCAATTTTTTTGTAAATCTCTCACTTTTTTGTTAAAAAAATATTTGACTTACAAGAATTAAGAGTAAACTACTAGTGTTTTTTTTGGAAATAAATTAACAAATCTTTAAAAGTTGTAAAGGCCAAAATATTTTTTATTTTAATTAATTGTTTAAACTTTTGAGATTACCATACTAATGATACTTTTCTTAAATAAAAACGGTTTTTTATTTATTGTTTTACAAAGATATGTTTATGCATTTTATAAATGTGTAAAAATATTTATTGAAAATGTTACAATTTATATTAAAAAAATTATAAACTTTATCTGTTGTCAAAACTTTCTTCTGGTCGGTGGAAGAAAAAATATTTTGGCATCGCTCCTTTATAACCATTAAACATTTATTGATTTATTTCCAGTTTACTCAAAAAAATTCTTTAATTCTTGTAAGTCAAACATTTTTTTAACAAAAAAATATTTTGCACAGCAACAATTCTTGTAACAAGCTCGTTGTCTAAAAAAATTGTGGTAGGTTTCCATTAAAAAAAAAATTGTTACTATGTTTATCTCGTAAGTATAAACAATTAATTAATAATGAATTTTTTTGAATAGCATTTTTATAGCCATTTGCACACCTATAAATTTATTTGCCAAAAAAGTTGATAGTTTGGTCGAATAAAATCGTTTCCAGACTTTTGGACCACTCTGTATTATCAATACAAGTATATCTAACGTAAGTATTTCGAGATTAAATTAATGCAAAATCAAATAAAAAAACTTAAATTTTCTGATTAAAAAACACCACCTCTCAAAACAACAAATTTCCCTTTTCTTTGCAGTTTCTTTGTTATTTTAACAATTTATTTATTTTTTTCTATTTATTTTATTTGTATTTCATTTTATGAAGTTAGAAAATAAAAATGACAAACTAATTTACGGTAAGAATAAAAAAAATACCTCCAACTTAAGTTATTAGTCACAGATCTGTCATTGTAACAAATATAAATTTTCTAAGTAGAAAAGATCGTAGATAAAACGTCGTATTTCACTCGCCTATGCCTCAGGTGAATTTTTTAAACTTCACCTCTGTGAATAATAGCCATCATTATATGCTCGTTGAATGATATACTATTATTTATCAATTTAACAAATTTTTAGAGATTTTTTTGCAAAAAAAAAAAATCATTATTGTTTCTTAGATTTGACAAAACGAAAACATGTTTTGATTCGATTATATCCACTTAGCAGATTATTAAAATAAAGTGAAAACCGTATAAGTACACATATCCAAGTTTGTAATTTTAATTTTGATCCTTTTATGTCCGTTTGTAACACTTATGAGGCACGATATTTTGTTGTAATTATTACACTTTGAAAGTGATTTAATATTTATTAGATACGCAGTGAATCAATACGGCGACCTTTTCCCTACATTATAGGGTGAGTGCGGGAAAGGTGGAAAACATTCATTTAAATACAAATAATATAATTTGATGTGTACACCTGGTTCATTTTTCCAGGATCACCCTATTTTTTGTTTACGATTTTTTTAACTTGCTTTTATTACTTTAAACTTGAGATTATTTTTTTTAATTTTTTCGAAAACCTTGACCTATTTCTTATATTGTTTTCTTGCTTTAATCACCAGTAAGACTTTCAGTTTGAGTGACATAACATGTAAAAATTACCAAGAATTACACACGTTATTAATATTTAATTAAAATGCAATTACAGGATGTCAAGTTGTTGGTTATTTTTTATCAACTATTTGTAAAAACCCTTTTACCGTTACTTGACAAGTAAGATATTTAATTTGAAATTTTAATTTGCGAGTAAGTGTCCCATTAAAGCACCTGTAAATGTAATTAAAAAGAATTTGTCGTGACATAACCAAGATTAATTAGTTTAATTAGTGTTATAATATTGTCAGAACTGTGACTTATAATAAATGTAAATTACGAGTAGATAAATTATGAGTAGCAAAATGTTGTACCTATAGTTACGTAAATAACAAACATATTATTTAATGATAGTAGATAATAGTATATAATGTTATTGGAAGTTATGTGACAAAGCTGAACGTTTAATTTGCCGAACGTAGTGAGGCAATAATTCAGCTAAACTAGGTATATAATTTCAGTTTTACTCTGAATAACATATGGTATTTTTTCTGCAAACGTATTCTGATCGAGAATAGAGAGCAACACTATAGTTAGCAAGTAAATGAACAAAATAATTAAGACACTTTGCACGTAACAACGCCTATAAACAAACATCGTGCAAAGATTTTCGAAAGTGTTTATTCATTTTACTAGTGCAGTTAGTAGTAGAAAATGTGGAATGCTCATGAAAGAAYGTGAAAGAAAGAAAAAGGAAACAACACTGGTAAATGTCAATAATGTCATAGTCATTATGTATAAACAGATCTCTAAACTTTTTTCTATTAAAAAGATAAACATTTCAGGTACAAAGCCCCAGTGTTTACATTTTCAGTTTGTGGTTTATTTGAATTTTTGCAACCTTCACTTTTTTGTATTTGTCCAGACAATTACGCATCAGCGTAATTAACATCTCAACTATTACTCAAACAATTAACGTAATCACTTACCTGAATTTATCGCTGAAACTGTCCCTCGCTAGAGGACTCCGGTCTGAAGAAGTGAACGAACTCGGCCTGGACGAAAACCCACTGCTACTCCTGAAAAAAAAAACATATTTTACTTGACTGAAAATAGTATATTCTTTTACTAGGATTAAAAGTGTCACTTTTTCCGCCGAGTGGATGCAAATTTGAGAAAAACAACTCACTTTTAAGCCGAATAAAACATATTATTTTAACAATAGTGTTATTTTTCACTTTTTTAAAACTTTCAAGTAGGTATGTTTTATTTCTAAAATCTCATTTTTTATGAGATTTATGTACAACAAAGCAAAAAATCACCGCACTACGTAAAAAATTATATAATTTTGGTTTTTCAAGTGTTTAAACACATTTTTCGAGG